GCCGGGAGGGGGCACGGCAGCAGCTGGGCGCAACCGCCCCTCTTTGCATCCGCTGACGCGGCGCGCGCCGCCACGCATGCGAGGGCAACCGTGTGTGCCCCCACAAATGGTGGGCCGCCTCCACCATCAAGCATACACGCATGCGCCGTCCAGGGCCGAAAAGCAAGCAGCGCAGCTCGCCTGCATGCGTCCTGAGGCTCTTGCTGCGTCGCGTCAGCCATACCCGCAAAACTCCGGATCCGTCCTCAAACAGGGGCACCAGGCAGCCGGCGTGCTTGTTCGAGACGGGCGCGTGCTGCTGCACGCGGGCCGCCTCCTCGAGCCTCGACGCGGCCGCGGGCAGCGATGCGTCAGCGGCGCGCGACGAGGCTCGAGTTTGCACCATTGGGCGACCTGCGCGGGGCAGGGCTGCCTGCAGTAGGCGCCGTGCCATACACCTGCAGAAGAACAGCTGCCGCTGGATGGAGTGTGCGAACTGAAGGATTGTCTGGAGGTGCTTTCTGATCGCCGCGTGCATCTCCCGCGCCCAGCACAGCGCGTGAAGTGGATGATCGAAGACCACACACGGAGTAGCTCGCTTTTATATGCGCGCCGTATTCCGCCAAGCCGTGGGCAGCTACTGCTTCTACAGGGCGCGTACTGTCATATAGGTGATGGTTCGGCTTTTTGTTCATGTCCAGGCGATGTTGCAAGCACTTTCTACTCCTAGCTTAGCCGTCCACACCTGCATGCAGTGACATATGCTCGTCGTGCCGCCATCCTGGACTGCCTCGCCAGTCACCAAACTCACCAGAAGGTACACGTCCACACCTTGCTTGAACAAATGCGGAATGCATTGGACGAGCCTGGATGCTCCATACCGTAAAAACCCGCTGCTCATGTACCATTGTGATAACGGGCAGTCCGAACCGTCTGTGTTGGTGGAGTAGCAAGCACAACAGCGCTGGGCTGCCCACTTGATGGACTTGTTTATTGTTCACAGACCCCTCCTACCATGTATGACACCCCAATCGTGTCTTCCTACATGTCCATACACAGCCATGCAACCGACCGCACCAACCAAGCGCCGACCAAATTCGCTGTGCACAGGTGATGAGGCAGGCGGATCGGTCTGCGCAAACTGCAGCGCAGAAGAAGCGACTTTGTTGGGCCACGATTCAGTCCTCATTTCGGCCAACGGCATTGGGCGATCTACCTTGGCATGCTTTTCTCGCCCGGCAGCTATCATGCTGTCAGCCTGTGCCTCTGCCACCTACAAAGGAGATATGTAGGTTCATAGTGCACTCAGGGGACATGCAAAGTACCATACAATAGGGGTAGACCTCAACCACCTTGGCGCCGCGGCCGTCACTGTCGCACAGGGGGTGAAGTGTCAGCAGTGAGCAGGAGTGAGGCAAGCAGCAGAGTGCTCGCAGCAAGAGGGGTATCCCCGCCCGAGCCCGTTCCTCTGGGACTCATATCGCATATCACCTGAGCTCGATGGCGAGTCATGCACACATTGCCATGTCCTGCCATCTGCTCATCTCCTGCACCACAAAACCGCACACGCACGGCGCGGCCGGGAGCAATGAGGGGGCAGATGGCTGGACTCAATAGGCTACAATTTCTCTGTACACCACGTTTACAGCGTGCAATACTCCCAGTGTTGCGCCTGTGGGCATTCCAGCCATGCTGACGTCAGGGTACGTGCGATCGCATTCAAACGTGCTGTGAGCACCTTCTCAATGCGTTCACAATCGTTTAGCACAATTCAACAACATTGTTTTCGCACCTGATCGGCACAATTGCAACCTTCGCTGCCACAAGAACGCGCACAGCCATAGCTGCGGCCATCTCCTGCACAGACGCAGCAACATGATTTCGACAGCTTCTCCTGGATGTGAGGCCAGGTGAGGCATCGAGAGCCCGCCAGGCCACCGCGCTGGGGCCTGAGCCGTGTGCCTCGTAGGGTGTGGGCGGCCGAGCCACCCAGGGATATCGACCTGCATTTGATAGCGAGACGGCTTGTTACAATGGCAGCAGCCACCGCCACTGCCACGCGTGCCGCCGCGGCTGCCGCGCCTGCCACCCGTTGCATTGAGGTCCCCGGCCCATGTGGTGCAATATCGCTCCTCGCCTCCTTGCAGCTTGGCCGCCGCGCACATCGTGGTGTCATCCTCAACGTCGCTGCTCGCGGCCGCGCGTGGCGCCGCCGCCGCCACTGCAACCGCAGCCGTCGGCGCCGCGACGTTCCACCCCGTCCTCGCGCCACTCGGCGCCGCGGCGGCGCTGCGCGTCAACGGCGGCGCCCGCGAATCCGCGGTGCACATCACACGCACCCAGCGACGCGGTGGGCAGCGGCGGGCGACGCCGATCGCGGCGTCCAAGAAGCTGCCCCGCGCATACTCAGCGCGCGTGTCAGAGTTTGCGGCGGCTGCGGAGCACGCGCTCTCTGATTCCTGCTTTTCCGACGAGTCCGGGCCGGCTGTGCTCAGCAACCTGCGGGACTGGCGCAGCTGCAGCAGTAGCCAGGTGGGTTCGTGATTTGAAAGGTTGACTGTTGCTGCACAGTTGACTGCTGCGCTCGCAACCAACTTGGCCCCGTCATGCGTGCATGTCATACAGCTGCTGAGATTTTGTTATGGCGATCCCGAAATCGGTTCGCGCTCTGCAACAATCCTCCACACAGGGGCCACGGCAGCTGCAGCAGCAGCAACAGGTGGCGGCATCGGCGCACGAGCCTTGGTTGTTCTCCATGGCACTGCAGGCCAGCATGCTGTGAGCAGGGCGCTGAAGCGGCAGTTGTGGCCGCGCCTGCACGCCCCTTGCTATCGAGGGGTGGCGCCGGGGCCGCATCCCAACGGCCACTATTGGCTGATGAGGCACCCAAGCGGCGGAGTCGCTGGCCGTCTGCGGCGTGGGCTTTGGCCTTGTTGGTTGCCACCCTCGAGCTCTCAGGCCTGCCCTGAACATTTACAGCGGGCATGCCAGCCTTGCTTTGTCCTGTTTCCCTGCCGTGCGCAACAACAGCGTGCAGCTGCTGCTGCTGGTGGCCTGTGAGGGCGGCTCTGTCCCACGACCGCCTGCGCGGCTCGCTGTTGCCCGATGGGCTCCGGCTTAGCAATTAAAACGCGTTTCAGGCACCTCAAAGCCTCATTTTGACACAAATACCCATCGACACTGCCGCAGCTCCTCACCAGGGCTGGCGCACGCCAAGCAAGTTGGCGGGTGCATCGGCGCCGTCACAATTTTGCCGCTGTTCCATGCACGGTCCCCAACCTCTCACACGCAACACGCAGGATCGCCCGCCGTCGGCACTCAAAACGTGTGCACGGATTTTGGCTGCGCGGGCTCGGGTACCCCATGCGCCCACCGCGGCGATGCAGCCACTTGCTGCTCGCCGCGAGGCACAGGTTTCTCGACACCCGCAGCACCCCGCGGCGCGGGCGTTCCATCACAACACGAGGCAATTTTGTCCCTTCAGCCTCTGATATACGCGTGTGTTGGCCGGGGCTGTGTTTTCGGAGCAAGCGGGCTTGTTTTGAAGCAAACAATCGCACGCTGAGCTCACGTGGGTGTTTGATCAAGGAAGCGGACCGGCCTTTCACAAGGAGCGCGCCTGAACCCAGCTGAGGGCTTCTGTGCCGCTGCGCTGCGTCACAGCTGCCTTGCCAAGGACACTTGTTCTGCAGCCAGGCACTGGCCTTTTGTTGAGCTGCCAGGCACACCTGCCCCTTTGCTACCTGTGGTGTGGAGCTCAGCCCACTTTGAGATGCGTCACCAAGCAGGGGAGGCCACGAGTCTCTTCCCCTCGGCCCTGTATGAGCACTTGCCAACGTGTTGTGGCAGTCGATGTCGGCGGTTACCTCGCGATGTGTACCCTCATGATGATGCATGCGCGGGGCGCATATACGTGCGGCATCCAAGGCAACCGGCAGTGTCTTTTTTTTCTGATTGTTGCAAGCC